TTGCCTTGGACAGCACGCCTCATCCCCCGGTGCCGCGGCCGGGGTGAGGGGCGAGTCTGGAGTGGACGGCCCTTCTCCCCAGCCTCCCAGATGGCCGGCTTCCATTGGCCGTGGGCAGCCAAGGGTCTTTCTTGACAGACCCCAGGCGTCTGCCTTATGCTCTGTGAAGCCCCTGGGGACCCGGTCCCAGTGGTTTCTGAATGCCAAGCCCATGTCCCTGTGGCCAGACTGCGGCCATGCCTGAGCCGCCCACGCTGAGCCCTGGTGAGCCGGACCCTCGGCGGCGCCTGCAGCTGGCTGGCAGCTCAGAGCCAGCGTCTCCCCGCAGGGCCCTGACCTGGGCGTTCTCCCCAAGTCACTGGGCTTACGCGGAACGACAGCCCAGCCCGCAGCGTGCCGTGGCACATGACGGGCACATCTTTCATGGGATAGAAAGCACATTCCAGGGAGCTGGCCTTTTGCTGATAGCCAGTTCCTGCTAGAAGGACGTCAGACCCGAAGGCCCTGGCCCTGCTGCCGGCCAGGCCCCGGCCCCGGGAGAGGCACAGGTGCAGTGGCGAGGAGCGGCCCGGCCGCCTGGACTCGGCATGGAGGGGGCATCGCACCGGTGCGTGTGTGACTCGCTTGCTGAGCTTCAGCAGGCCCAGGGGTGGCGGGGAGCGAGCGGGGCCGCACAGAGGCCAGCGGCCAGGCGGGTGCGCGCTGTGGCTTGTGTCTTGAGTCCTCGGGGTGTCGCCGAGACGGGCTAGCAGGGCTCTGCCGCCCAGGCCTGGTGGAGCAGCTGGGGTGAGCCCCGGATGCAGGCGGGAGGCGCAGGCTCCCCACGGTCCACCCAGACAGGGTGCCCTGGTCTCCTGGGCCCTCCCCTGTGCTGGGCCCTCCTGGCTCTGGACCCCCTGCCCAGGCCTCCTGCCCCAGGGGCAGCTGGTGGCCTCTGACCCCATCCACCCTCGCGCGGGGACGCAGCCGCTTCCCCCGGGCCTGGGCCCTGCCTTGCCGTCCGTTCTCATCAGAAGAGCCTGTTCCGAGCCGTTTCTGCCCATTTCTTCCAAATTGGCAAGTTTCCTGAGCTGTTGTCTTAACGCCGTGGGTTTGCTGTGGGTCTGCTGGGATTGTGCCGCCAGACGAGCACCCCGTCCGCAGACCCTCCGTCCTCTCGCCCTGGGCTTCCCACGGGTGCCCGGGTCCCCAAAAGCCGAGGGCTCCTGGCCGGCGCCTGCAGGCGGCCTGTTCTCGGCGGCGGCCTCTGCCCTCTCCTGCCTCAGCAGTCAGAGCTGTCAGGACTGGCGTCCACCACGGCTTCTGGCGGCGGCGGCCTGAGCCGGGGCTGAGGGAGAGGCTGGGGCGGCCACCCAGCCCCAGGCAGCGCGGCCGGGTCCTCGTGCCCTCTGGGTCTGGGCAGGCCTCGCCTCGTTTCATCAGCCCACAGGGAAGGGGTGGGAAGGTCCCGTTGGGAGCTGCATGGCCATGCCACCATTCAGAGCTCCGTCCCCGGGGCCTGTCTCATCCCTCAGGTGAGTAGCCCAGTGCTCGCTGGGCCCTTGGTCTTGGTTTCCACCCAGAAGCAGAAGCTGGAAGAGCAGCACTGGTGGGCGACCAGACAGCCCCGCCACCCCCACGCAGGGGTACCTGGGGGGTGCCCCCATGCAGGGGCAAGCGGGGCGGCGCCCAGCAGAGGCAGTCGAGGGCAGCCCTCCGGCCTCTGATACCCCGTGTCTGTTGGCCCCACCCGCCAGGACGTCTGGCCACTGCAGGCTCCCTGCCCGCCGTGGGGTGTGGAGCGAGTGCTCATTAAGCGCATCCTGTTTTCCACACTGTGGTGACTGGGCGAGGGGGTGGGTGCGGAAGGGGGAGCAGGGACTGGTCATCCGGCACAGTGCCACCGCCATGTCACCCACCAGCTGGGCCAGTGGGCAGCGGCCACGGGGGGCTCATCTGACCCTCCGTGGCTCAATTGGCTGGGGAGCCTGGGGCCGCGGGTCTCACCCAGTGTGTGGGCCCAGCTGAGCGGCCACTTGGGCCGTGCCGAGGAGGCCAGTGACTCCAAGGACACATGGCTGGGTCCACCGTCATGTGGAGGCTGCGAGCCCACGTGCAGGCCAGGCTGTTAACGCTGGAAGCGTCTCAGACATGGCAGAGCACTTGGCGAGATGCCCCAGGTGTCCCGAACACGGCAGGAGGGAGCATGAGTCCCCACCAGGTCTAATGGGGGCTGTTGCTTCTCTGTCTCTGCGTGGACTCTCCAAGAAACAAGGGACTCGGGGTGCTGCCTCCATTGCCCCTGCCAGGGCCCCCAGGCTGCCCCCGCTCCCAGAACATTCCCCCCGGCCCTGGTCAGGGCTCCTCAGCCCCCCTGGGCTGCCCCTACTCCCAGGGACCCAAGCGGCCGTGCAGCCTGGTCGAGCAGCCCCACGGGGCCTTTCTGCAAACCGCGCCCCTTCGTGTCTGGAGGGACGCAGCGCGGCTCACCCGCTCACTCGTGCCTCTAGCAGACCTGCCTCTGTTCTCTCTGTGGGAGGCCACGACCATCTCAGACAGCGCGCTGCCTGATGGCACTGCCCGCGGGGAGCGGCTCCAGAGGAACTGGGTCGTGGCACCATGGCCTGAACAGTCAGGCCAGCGGGGTGGCCCCTGGCCCAGCACCCACCGGCAGGGGTTATAGCATGTGCCCGGCACAGTGAGCTCGGGGCGTCTGCCCACCTTGCTCAGGAGGGCTTGAGGTGGGCCCAGGGTGGTTTGTCACCTCTGCCTGCCTCTTTGGGGTTTTGGGGATCAGGCCTTCTGTTTGGCTGAGCCATAAAGATCCTGAGCCCCGGGGAGCCCTCCAGGCCCGCTGGCCGAGACTTCCCAGCGATAGGCATCTGGCCCCCCGTGCTGCCCTGTCCCCCAGGGCATCGGGTCACGCTGTGCTCCACAGCCCCAGGGTGGCCCTCAGGGCTGAGGAACTGCCTGGCTGGATCACGGTCCTTCTGCTTGACTTAGGAATAAAACAGACTCTCAGCCTGACCCTAGGGCTTTAAACAGTTTCAACTTAAAAAACTTTAAAACACACCGTCCTAGCTGTAGCACACAGCTTTCACCCTTTCCTGGCTGAAAAAGCAAAGGAAAAAACCCAGTGGGTTTCCTGAGGCTGGGGCATCTGCACCATCCATCCTGGAGCCCCATGGGTCAGAGTCGCTGTGTCCGCCTGGCTTCCCACGGGGGACACTGGTGGACGTGCGTGGCCTGCAGGCTGTGGCCGATGTGACCTTCGTTCCCGTGGTCCTGCTCCTGGCGGAACAGGGTGGCAGCAGCAGGCCCACCCACACGCCTGTGTGGGGCCATGTCCCGACCCGCGGGATTCGTAGGCACGAAAAGAGAAGGGCTGAGGATTGAAATGAGGGGCTTGAGACAACTTGACGCTGGCGGTTGCTTCTTTATTTTTCCCTTTCCTTTCTTTTCCTTTTCCCTGTCTTTCTACCTTCCCTGACCTTCTCTGCTCCTCTCGCGGTGACCTCTCTCGCAATGACCTCTCTGGCAATGACCTCTCGACCTTCTCGTGGTTCTCTTCTTATCTCCTGGGAGCTCCTCCCATCGTCCCTCCCAGTCTCATTTGATTAATAGGAAACACCTGTGGTTTCTCAGCAGGCAAACGGTAAAGCGAAAACTAATTAATGGCACGTGTGTTGCGCAACACGGCGCATGCTCCAGGCGGCTCCGGACAGGGCCAGGAAACGCTGGCCTGCTAATGGGGGTCCGCACGTCGGGGCCTGCAAGGGTGCAGGGCGGAGAGAGACGGAACGTCTTCAGTTTCCAAGTCTAGCACGTTTATTTCTGAAAAGCCAGGAAAGCATCTGGTGACATGGCCACAGAGGGAGGGGCAAGCTCGGGCCCCCAGCCAGGCACTGCCCCAAGCGGGCGCAGGGGGCCCGGAGAGGCCAGCCCCAGTGCCTGCCACCGTCGCTCTAGACAGCGGGGACACACCTCCTGTCTGGGTGACCTCCATGGCCGGAGGGGGGGTGGGGGAGGGATGCTGTTGGCTTCCAGGAGCCTCCGTTTCTCCCTGACCTGCGACCTCAGAGGCGGGCTCCCGGGCTGTCCAGAGATGGGGGACCCAGAGTGAGCAGTGCAGACAAGTTCTGGACGGGGGCCCCGAGCCCATCGCAGAGGGTGGTCCCGGCACCTGGGTTTGGCTTCCGGGCCGGACGGCCTCATGTGAGCACAGGGCGTGCCGAGGCTGCAGGTTCTTCCCTTCAGCCTGTATCTCACCAGCTTGCAGGCAGGAAACAGATGAGGCCCTTTTGACCCACAAAACCAGCAAGAGTGCCTGGCCCGCGGCCCGGAGAGCCCTTGCAGGCCTCACGCCAGCGGGGCGGGGCTGGTGGGGGAGCCTGGCAGTGTGGCCCTGCCCCAGGCCTTGCCCTCTGGCCCGCCTCCTTCTACAGGAGAGTTGGGGGTGCTGGAGCCCCGCAAACCTTCCCAGGGAAAAATGCAAACTGAACGTCCTCTCTTCCTCTGCCACAGGGACGTGGGCACGTGGCGCCCCTGCCGACGGAGCAGCAGGCCCCGGCGTGGCCCTCAGCAGTTCCCCACCGGACACGGGTTGCAGCTCCCGCAGCGGCGGGCAGGAGCCACCCCGGGCGCTAGCCTTGGCAGCAGCAGTCGCCGGAAGGAAGCCCGGGCGCTCTTTACAAGCCCGGGGCGCAGTGGGTTCCCGTCCTCCGCAGCTTGGACGTTGGGTGACTGGGCGGCCGGCAGGACCCCGGGAGGACAGTCTCCGCGCGCCCTGTGCTGTGCTCTGCAGGGGCCCAGGGGCCCAGGGACTGCCCGGTGCTCCCACCCAAGCAGCGCCGCGGGCAGGAGGACCGGGTGAAGCCCGGGGGCGCGGCTGGCAGGCGGAGCGGGGCGCAGGGCAGCTGAAGGGCTGCCGGAGCCGCCCTCGGGGACCTGATCGCCTGCAAGGCCGAGAGCCAGAGGAAAGGGCGCGGGCGGCCGGGCTGCCGAGCAGGAGCCCGCCGCCCATGGCGAGCCCGGCGCCCCCCTGCGTCCTCTACGAGGTGGACGACCGCGGCCGCGCGGACCCCGGAGGCGGCCGGGCGGGGGGCGAGGGCGGCGCCGCGCGGGCCCCGGGAGAGGACGGGCCGCCGCGGGGGGAGGCCGCGGGGGCGGGCGCTGCGTCGCCGTCGCCGGCGCAGACACCCTGCAGCCTCCGCGCGTCCCTGTGCTTCAGCTCCGGCGACGACTCTCCGCCGCGCTCTCCCGGCTCGGCGGCTGAGGGCGCAGCGGGGTCCCCGCCCTCGCGGCGCCGCGGCCCGCGGGTGGTGCAGACGCAGCGGGAGGTGGGCAGCGGCGCCGCGTCCCCCGAGGAGGAGCCCGAGGAGCCCGCGCCGGTGCCCCCCGGCGTCGGGGCGGCGCACGGGGAGCCGGACCTGGTGCTCGAGGTGTCGGGCCGCCGGCTGCGGGCGCACAAGGCGGTGCTGGCGGCGCGCAGCGACTACTTCCGCGCGCGCGCGTCCCGGGACGTGCTGCGGGTGCAGGGCGTGAGCCTCGCGGCGCTGCGGCTGCTGCTGGCGGACGCCTACAGCGGGCGCATGGCGGGCGTGCGCCCCGACAACGTGGCCGAGGTGGTGGCCGGCGCGCGCCGCCTGCAGCTCCCGGGCGCCGCGCAGCGCGCCACGGACGCGGTGGCCCCGCAGCTGAGCCTGGCCAACTGCTTCGACGTGCTGAGCGCGGCCCAGCGGCAGCGGCTGAGCGAGCTGCGCGACGCCGCGCTCCGCTTCATGAGCGACCACTACCTGGAGGTGCTGCGCGAGCCCGCCGTCTTCGGGCGCCTGTCGGGCGCCGAGCGCGACCTGCTGCTGCGCCGCCGCCTGCGCGCCGGCCGGGCCTGCCTGCTGGCCGCCGCGCTCGGGCCGGGCGCGGAGCTCGCGGGCAGCCGCCCGCAGAGCCCGTCGGGGGACGCGGACGGCCGCGGGGACCCGGCCGTCTACTGCTACCGCGCGGCGGAGGGCGAGTGGCGCGAGCTGACGCGGCTGCCCGAGGGCGCCCCGGCGCGCGGCTGCGGCCTGTGCGTCCTCTACAACTACCTCTTCGTGGCGGGCGGCCTGGGGCCCGCGGGGCCCGATGGCCGCGCGCGCCCGTCCGACCAGGTCTTCTGCTACAACCCGGCCACGGGCCGCTGGAGCGCGGTGCGGCCGCTGCGCCAGGCGCGCTCGCAGCTGCAGCTGCTGGCCCTGGACGGCCACCTGTACGCCGTGGGCGGCGAGTGCCTGCGGAGCGTGGAGCGCTACGACCCGCGCGCCGACCGCTGGAGCGCCGCGGCCCCCCTCCCGCGGGGCGCCTTCGCCGTGGCGCACGAGGCCGCCGCCTGCCACGGCGCCATCTACGTGTCGGGCGGCTCGCTCTTCCACCGCCTGCTCAAGTACGACCCGCGGCGCGACGAGTGGCAGGAGTGCCCGAGCAGCAGCAGCCGCGAGCGCTCCGCCGCCCTGGTGGCGCTGGGCGGCTCCCTCTACCGCTTCGACCTGCCCGGCGGCCGCGGGGACGCGGGGGGCGCGCCGGCGGGCGACATCCGCGTGCTCCGCTACCACTGCCTCGCCAAGCGCTGGAGCCCGTGCGCCTCGCACCTGCGGCCGCCCGGCGCGCCCGCGGGCCTGCAGCCCTTCCGCTGCGCCGCCCTGGACGGCGCCATCGTCTGCGTGAGCCGCGCGGGCACCTGGCGCTTCCTGCCGGCGCCCGACGGCCCGCCCGGCGGGGAGGCGGGCGCGGGGGGCGCCTTCCACCCGGAGCCGCTCGGAGCCCCGCTGGACGCCCGCGGCCTGCTCGTCCCCTTCGTGCTCAACCTGCCCGAGGAGAAGCAGAGCAGAGGGGACGAGGCCGCCATGTAGGCCGGGCGGGCGGGGCCCGGCGCGGCAGCCCCTGGGCAGCCCGGGGCCGGCGCGCGGCCGAGGTCCCGCGGGGAGGGCAGCGCAGCCGGCAGAGCGCGCTGGGGGCGGGGCGGGGGCCTCGGCGACGGCCGGCGCTGCGGTGAGGCCCGTCCTCACCCTGCGGTCCTTTTTGCTTCGCTGAGGCGAACGGGTCGATGGAGCATGCGCATCAGTGGACGGGCGCCGGGGCCGGGGTGCAGGGGGGGTCCGTGGAATCAAAGGGTGCGGCTTGGAGGTAAGGGGTGGGTCCCAGGGAGCGTGGGGTCCTGGGCGTCTTCGGGTGCACCTGGGAGGTGCAGTGCTCTGGCCAAGCGTGCAGGACCAGGCCAGGGGATGGGCAGCCCCGGGGGCAGAGCCGGCCCCTGCGGTGGGCAGTGTGGCCTGTGCTACCATCCCCGGGGAGGGTCACCGTTTTTTTGGCTCAATGTTTAGATCGCTGCCTATCTGGGAAGGGAGGCTCTTGAAGGCTTTGCCACTTGGCTCAGCCTGGCGCGAGTCTGGGTTCAGCGGGCACAGCGGCCAAGTACTTGCCCTGGTGGCCCTGCCCCCGTGCCAGGTGGTCCTCTCGCTCCCCCCAGCACAGACGCCTCCACCTGAACCGAGTCAGTGTTTTCAAGGGAAGGACAGTGGCACGTTTGTGGGCGCAGGGCCGAGATGCTCTGGGGTGTTGTGCTTGGAGACCCCACGCTAGCCAGGGAGCACGGGATGGGGGGACAGGAGGGAGCATGGCCGGGAGAGAGGGGGCTGCGTCAGAGGCGCCTTCCCAGCTGCTCCGTGCACAGCCACCGCTGCAAGTCAGGCGGGGTGGGAGACGCAGTGGCCCTGGCAGGCTCCAGGCAGCTTCCAGAGGCAAACGCGGGCAGGTCTGGAGCGCACACGGCGCTTAGACAGGCGAGGGGGCATCTGAGGAGGGCGTTTACTTGTACAAACTTTAGAAGAAAACATGGCCAAGGGCGACCAGCAAGTGGACGTAGGAGGTGGCGTCCTGCAGCATATCCGCAGCGAGCCTGCAGGCCTCTCGCCCACGAGGAGCCAGCACCTGGTGGCCTCCCGCGGTGCATACGCAACCCCCGCTGCCTCTCCTGCCAGACAGCGCCTCCTCTGCCCCACCCCACGTCAGGCGGGTTCGCGCTCGGCTGAGCTTTCTGGGAGCTGTTGCTAACAGGGCAAACTGACTCAGATTCCGAATCCAGTCCATCTGCAGGTTGTGCCGGGACGGGCACAGGCTGGAAGTTACTGGAAGCCCGTCGGGGCCGCGCACGCCCCTTCTGCAGGTGCCCTCCCTGGCAGTAAGCGCGTCAGAGCCTGTGACTTGCCCGCTGCCGCCCGCCTCCAGGACCGCCAGCCCGGGAGCAGGGGTGGGGGGTGGGGTGCGTGGTGAGGAGGCAGCTGAAGTGCATGGCGCTCTGTTGAGGGCCTGGTGCTCGCTCTAGGAGGTAGTGTTTATGCACAGCCTTTGGTGTAAGACGGACCAGACCCATGTTCTCCTCCCTCACCTGCCCAGCCCGCAGGACAGTGCCACCGTGGTCTCCGTGGGAGGCACCCCTCAGCCTTCACCAACAGCTCAGCCCAGCCGAGGCCAGCTCGGTGTGCCGCTGACGCTTCGCCCCGGCTGCAGCCGGGGTGCCATCCGGCGCTCCCCTGCGTGGGACCTGCCGTGAGGGCTGCCTGGAGCCTGCGAGCTGAGCTGAGCCGGCCGGACCAGGACGCTGCGTGTTCTGCGTCGCGCGGGAGGGCCAACGCGTCCACGTGGGGCCAGGGCCTGGGCCTGCTCCCAGCCATCAAGCAGGATGGCCCCACGTGAGGCCCTGAGACTGGCCCCGCTGGTGCCCTGCACCCTCTCCGTGTCTGGGGCGCCGCGTTCCAGGGAAGAGGAGGGTGCGGGGGCTGGGGCCAGGCGCGGGCAAGCGTGGCCTGGTGCGTTGGGAGCCGCAGGGAGCACTTGAGACAGGTTCCTTTTCTCCCTTGTTCTGGGTCTGGAACAGCCCAGCCCGGGCTGGTAGACGGGCCTCCCGCGCCTGCCTCCCTCCCCTGGGCAGCGTGGCTGCTGTGGAGATGCTTCTGCCAGGACTTCAGTTCTTACCTGTGTCGGTTTTGCTACAAATACCTGAGTAAGGCTCTCCGTGTCGGCTCTGTTCATTTCCCCTGTCCCCTGCGCAGTCCGGGATGGCGGCGCGGCTGCCTGTGGGCGCTCTCCTGGGGCGTGAGCAACAGCACTCTGGCCTGGTGTGTCCCCCAGAGACGGGCGAGAGGGGTGGGGTGCGAGCCCCGCGCCCCTGCTGTGTCAGGCTGGATCCCGCACCTCAGGCCCCTCGCCCGCCACCGCCACAGAGCAGCTCACGCCAAGGCCGCGCAGCTGCACACCAGCCGTGGAAGCTGTCCCGTCATGCCCTGCAGGCAGTGTGGGAGACCCCTCGTGGGCTCGCAGGTCCCTGGGGTCCCCACCTGCAGTTCTCAGGAAGAGGGGCTCTTCGTGCCCCCAGGGGTGCCCCTTGCCCCGCATCCTGCCCTCATGGGGCCTTGTTCTGGGTGTGACGGTGGCCATGGGAGCCGGGCGGTCTCAGAAGGCAGAGCCCCCATTCCTGGCAGACAGCGCCCCAGCCCAGGCGGGAGCCAAGGCTGCACTGGGCCCCACTGTGATGGGCAGCTGCCCCTGTGTGGTGCGGTCAGGGCAAGGGCCCCTGAGTGTGCACCCTGTTCTGTGGTTGAGGCACCTGAGCTCCCCCACACCGAGGGGGCCAGGGGCGAACACCTCCCTTTCCCCGTGTGACCCCGAGTGCAGGCCCACTCCTCAGCCAAGGGCTTGTCGCCTGCTCTGGACCAGGTACCTTCAAAGTCGGCAGTTGGGGAGCAGGCCCAGGTGTGGGGTGCAGCAGGTCCCGGGCACCTCAGCAGTGTGAGTGCCTTTTGGAGCTGTTCCCAGTGGTGTCACCTGCCTCCCTGGGCTGCTAGAAGAGGACCCCACCCCCGCACTGTGTGCCTGTGCAGACAGGACTCCAGGTGAGGGTGGGGTGAAGGAGGCCTGGGGCACTGGTGGGGGGCAGGTCTGCTCCCATCTTAGGGCCAAGGGAGAAGACGGGGTGGGAGGCTCTTCATGCCCCCAGGGGTGCCCCCTGGGCAGTCCCTGGTGGGGCTTCGGTGCAGAGGGCTGGACCACCCCCTCCCTCTCCCCTCCCCCCTCCAGGCCTGTGGGCCTTCCAGTCCACCCGATGGCCTGCGGGCCTGCACCCCACAACAGGGGTGGGGCTGAGACACATGGAGAGTCAGATCTGAATCCACTTGGCTTTCTGCAATTCCGTGTTAGCCTTTCCTGAGCACAATCCCGAAGCGTGAGGGCTGCCTGACCGGTGGGGGCGGGCGGGGCCTGCAAGGAGCCCTCCTGCTCGGCACCCGCTGTGACTCCAGCTTCAGCCCTGGCTTGGCCTCATGATGGCGCCGCGTCCTGGGCTGCCCAAGCCGGTCTGGGCGGGTGGTGTGTTTCCACGGGATTTCTGCTCACTCGGGTCACTCCTCTTGGATCCTCTGGGTGCGGCCACTTGCTCAGTCTGGCTGGTCACAGCCACCCCCCCCACCCCAGGACCGGGACAGAAGTGCCATTGTCTGGGCCCCAGGGTGACTGTGGGAACTGGGGCTGCGCCAGGGACGCAGGCACCGGCTCTTCTCCCCGCCCCCCGCCCCATGGGGGGAGGGCTGTCCAGCTGCAGCGGTGGGAGGGCAGAGGCAGGGTGGCCAGCAGCACTGCTAGCTCCGACGTCTCCTAACAACAGACGGCCTTCACATGGCCGCCCTGTTCGTCCCTGAGGCCGGGGCAGCTGGGCGACCTGGGCTGCTCCAGGGCTCCTGTGGCCGTGGAGCGGTGGCCGCCTCCGTCCCAGGCACCCTCTGCCTCCAGCCCAGATGCCCTCTGAACGTGGGGGGCCAAGCAGTCCCTCTGCCCGGGGCGTGGTGGCCAGGAAAGTGCTGACCAGGCCCTGTGCGCTCTCCCTGACCAGCACGTCTCCCCAGGACTAGGCTTCTCCTGGGAACCAGGCCCAATGGTTCTGGACACCTCAGGCCTGGACTTCCCTCCGTGGCCCCTGGAAGCAGCCCCCGGCCAGGAGCCCGAGGCCCAGCAGGCGACCTTCAGATCCAGGCTCTCCGCTCCCCAGGCCAGGCCGACCTCGGGCTGTTTATCAGCCTCCGGGCCTGGCAGAGGCTCCTGCGGGATCCCCTGGTGGGGGGCGAGGCCCCGAGACCCCTTCCCGGGAGCTGATCCCGCTGACACACACCAGGGCCGCCGCCCCACACCAGGCTCCCTGCCCCGCACCCGCGCTCTCTGTCCGCACCCCCACCTCTCTGCACCCCTGCTGGGCGCCCCCAACCCGTGTCCCCCCCCTGCCCCAACTGCTACCGTCCCGTGCCAGCACCACCCCGCCCACGCCCGAGGAGGGCGCCCTGGAGTCCGCAGGCCTTTGTGGGCTCTCACAAGCGAAAACCAGGGAAACCAGACAGGAAATAAAACGCAGCATTGAAATAAACGAAGAAACAGAGTAGGGGTGGGGGTTCTGGTTTGAGGCCCAGTGGAAGGTACTGGGGGGCTGCAGCTGTGAAAGTGGGTGAGGAGGTGGCCCCGCAGCACAGGCGCTGGGTGCTCGGCTGCCCCTGAGCTCACAGGCGGGTCCGGCCGTCCACGCCCCGGCCGCACTGGGGTGGGCTCTGGAGCCTCAGGTCTCGCGGGGCCCTGGCCTCTGTGGGTCCCCCAGCTGGGCGGGGCGAGCCCAGCATCCTCAGGTTTTCCTGCAGGACCCGGGGTGCGGTCTGGGCCCCCCGGCAGGCCTGCTGCTCTGGAAGGCTCTTGGGGCCCCCTGCACCCTGCGCGGACTCGGGGTCTGGGGCGGGCGGCGCCTGTCTGGGCAGGGTCCCTGGGCTCCTGGCCACCAGCTGGTGCCAAGCGGCCTCCCCTCTGGGAGGGAGCTGGACCC